ATAACGCATAAATCCTGCTCTTTCTTGTAGACCGTGCTTGTATTACGGTGCTGGAGCAGGCCGTGCTGATGTTAAAATCTCTAAATTATGCATTATCTCTGTGAGCCAGGTTAAGTCTTCAACGGTGCAAAAATATGCTAGCTGTGCTTTGCTGCAGTTTTAGCAAAATATTGCTCATGTTTTTAAAGACAGAAAATGGAGAAAGACGGAAATGAAGAGACTGAGAAAAAAGAGGAGTGTGGGGAATAGAGATAGAAAATGCTAACGCTGAAAAGCCAGCTAAACTCTGAAGGCCTTTTGTTATGGTTGTTTGTTATGCAATGTTCATTTACGAATTCACTCATTCATTCGTTCAAATGCTTATTCACTCAGACAGAGAAAATGAAACTTTTCTTTTCACTTTTTTTACTAATATATTTGCTCATTCAACCAGATGTTCATTCAGTTGTCCACTCATTCATAATAATAAGGCAAAACCAAGAGCTCTGTTCTATTTTTTTCACTCGTTTGTTTATTTGCTCATTTCATGTTCAGTTGTCATTAGTTCGCTTATTCAAGAAGTTTGCTCATTTGTTCCCTCATTCATAATAATGAGGGTTAGCCAACCACTTGACGCAAGGTCATGCGTCAAGTTTCGCAAGTCGCTGCTGTGCCTGCAAAATTACATCACTTGAATGTGTAAGATCAATCGAGGATCTAAACATAATCTCTCTGGACAGAAATTGAAAACAAGGACCAATCGCTTGCTTTTTTTATGTTTAAATATCTTGTTTAATCCCACATCCTTTTCGCAGCGCCGCTCGACAGAACTTCATTTTCAAACTGTAGTGTGACCGTAATGTTATGTGTGTTAATTTGGTTAATCAGATATTTTCTCAATCACTCATTCATAATAAATGTTTGTTCATACATTTGTTTCTTTGCGCAGTTCTTTTTTACTCGTTTACTCATTTGTTCACTTGTTTAATCAAACGTTTGCAGATTATTTTCACTCGTTCATAATAATGAGGGTCGTTTGTTCACTCATTCAATCAGACATTTGCTCATTTGTTCACTCAATCATAACAATGAAGGTTAGCCAACCGCTCTGCTCCTGTTTGTTTGTTTGTTTATGTTTTAGTTTAATCATGTTACCCAGTTTAATCAGAATTTTTCTCATTCATTCATTCATTCATTCATTCATAATAATGAGGTTCATTAACCACTCTGATTGTTTATTTCTTCATTTTTTTGTTTCTTGTTTACTCGTTTACTTATTTGTTCACTCATTTAAAAAAATATATGCTGATTTGTTCAATCGTTCATAATACTGAGGGTTAATCAGCCACTCTGATCCTTGTTCTGATGTTTGCTTTCAATTTTTTTGTTCAGTCGTTTATTTGCTAATTTGTTCGCTTACTCAATCAGACGCTTGCTCATTTGTTCACTCATTCATAAAAATAAGAGTAAACCAACAACTTGCTCTTGTTTGTTTACCTATTCGCTTGTTTGTTAATGTTTGCTCATCTATATTTTACTAACAGTTTCATTCATATAATTACAAAATTGTTTATTTGTTTACTCATTCCTAACAACATAGGTAAACAAATCACCCTGCTTGTGTTTTTTCAACAGTTTATTTGTTCATTGACTCATTCAATAATTAGATTATGCATTCACTCATTTGTTTAATTCTTCACAATTTAATTCATTTCTTCAATTATTAGTTTGTTTGTTTGTTTACAAATTCATTCATGTAAATGAAATGCCTATTCGTTTGTTTACTGATTCATGAGCCCACTCTTTCAATCAATAGCCTGCTTACTCCATCATTCATTCACTTATTAGGTTGATCATTCATTCATTCATTGCCTTTTTTTAAATTTTAGTTTGCTCATTCACTCGTTGATTTGCTCTTTTTTGTTTGTGGTGTGCTGCTACTCACATAAATGATAGATATACTTGGCCTAATGGTAATAGGAAACAGAACAGACTCAATAGGTCAAGTGGGATTTGCATAGACCAACACAGGAGGAGCAGGAAGGTGATTATGTTGTTCGATCTCTCACCCTGAAATCCTGAGCTGCATGAAATGAAACTATTCTCAATGTCTGAAAGTAAGCCAAGGGTTCTCCTCAAGGACATACATCTGACCGGCAGGGGTTATTAAGGTCTGGCTGGTCTCTGAAGAATGGTGGAGTTTGCATAATCTTTCTATAGTACTGTATATCAGACAGCTGTGCTAGAGTGGAGACTTATGCCTGAGGCTCAAAGCCAAAGGAATAATCGTCTGGAAATCCTGCACACAGCGAAATAAGTAGAAAAGAAAGGTCTCAATCTGCAGTATTTTTTAAAGTCTGTTAAAAGTGGCAGTTTACTGTACTGTATCTGAACAAGTTGACAAATCATTTTTGTTTTATGTCAGGCCTATTTACAAAGGTCTAATTACAAAGGTCTACCACTCAAAATGAGCTCTTGACATGCCAATTTTAATTGCATGCTAGAACAAAATACTACCAATAAAAAAATAAGGTTACTTACTAAATGAATAAACTGAAATTAAGTTAAACAAAACAACTAAATGTCTGCACTTCGCTCATTCCTTGCACAATTTTGCAGTATTGACAAGCCAACCACAGAGGCCATTTGCTAAATCTGTCAAACACTGCTGTGAAAGTGACAGGTATAAATGCCTTTCAGCTGCTGTTACACAGCCTATACAGTTAAAGTTATCCACCAAAAGCACAAGCAGTAGTTGTGCACAAGCCGTGTAGCCTAATTTATTTAAATTTTAATTCTATTAAAACTAAAACTAAACTATTTTTTTTTTCAATAAAACATATACTTTTTTGTTTCTATGTACTAATTAAAAAGTAAAACAAAACATAGGCTAATTATATCTTAAGGGCTTCATTGTAGCAGTACATTTAAAGAATAGCCTATGCAATTTTTTATGTGTGCCGGCATATATATACTCACCGGCCACTTTATTAAGTACACCTTATTAGTTCAACAAGGTACTGGAAATATTCCTCAGATATCTTGGTCCATATTGACATTATAGTATCACGCAGTTGCTGCAGATTTGTCGGTCGTAACCGTTGATACAAGGCAGAATGGAGTTTCATGGTGTTGATACCAAATTCTGACCCTTCCGTCTGAATGTCGCAGCAGAAGTCGAGACTCGTCAGACCAGGCAACATTTTTCCAATCTTCTATTGTCCAATTTTGGTGAGTCTGTGCGAATTGTAGCCTCAGTTTCCTGACAGGAGTGACACCAGGTGTGGTCTTCTGCTGCTGTAGCTCATCCGTCTCAAGGTTTGATGTGTTGTGCATTCAGAGATGCTCTTCTGCATAACTCGGTTATTTGAGTTACTGTTGCTTTTCAGTGGCGGAGCCAGAGGGGTGTGCGGGGAGGCACTGGACACCCCTGACATCCAATTGGCTACCCTGGTTGCCACCCTAAAATTTAATTTGTGGCTGGGAGTTCCTGATGCTGTTTGACATCTCATTTGTTTAAAGAAGTTTTTGAATTTTGCCAGCAATACTCAAGCTACTTTCAAATCAATGATGATCCGAAGGCAAAAGCATGGCTTTAAGTTAGACAAACAGTGTTGGGCAGTAGCAACGATACAAGAAATGTAACTTAAGTACATTTCTCAGTAGCGTGGTGGTAGCATCGCTACTTTGTAAATCAAATAACTTTTCAGTAGCAAAGCTATTATTTTAGTCAAGTAGCGCAGTAGCGTCAATTTTCTCTCATTTAACCTCCTGTTCACTCACTCAAATGACTGTTTACTCATCCATTCACTCTTTCAACAAATTTATTGGCTTGTTTGCTCACAGTTACTGACAGATTACTTTCATTGTTTGCACAAAAACAAAGTAAAGCCTGAAAATGAACATTAGAAAAAAAAAAAAAAAACAATGCTTAAGGCAAACAATCTGATATCTGACAGCATTGTTTGAGGCACAGAATTTCTACAGAGCATCAAAGGAGAGGAATTTAGAGACATTTACAGACAAACAATTCTGAAACAACCTGTCAAAAGTCGCATCTGATTCATCACCAGATCTAAAACCACTATACCGTTCGCTAATCCACCACCATCCTCTTCTCTCCATCACAATCCTCCCATTGCTCTTCTACAATATGTTTGTTTTATCAAAGCATCACCAATCAATCAACACTTCCCTTCTCTCAACAAAGTCTGTTTCTCCAGCTTTTACTCTGGACAGAGGAATGCCAGAGCTCTGATGGGTAATGCATGAAGCTGCACTGGCTTGTTGGTAAAATTTGGAGGGATCCCACCACTCCTTCTCCTCTCAGATGAGGACTCACATGCTCCAATCCTACATATTTATTGTTTTGTTTTATAGCTGAGTGGTCTGAGATTAATTATTTGTTGCACATGAATCCATTACGCGCAGTTCTACATGCGCTCAGCAGGCAAACATGGGTCTTTTCTAGTCAATAGTGAATAGGGCACTCAGCGTGATAGGCAATCACCTCAGATCAATACTAATGTTTTTAGAGACTTCGGGCGAGCTTTGTTCGAGAAAGAAAACCGCTATTTAATTCAGTCAGAGTATATTTATTATCAGCATTAATTTATAGGCTGGGTGAGTCTCATCCAAGCGACTGCGCTTCGTCTTTTCTGCTTCAGTTATTGTTTGAATAGAAGAGATGCTGTGCAAAATGTGTCCTCCGACTTCAATTTCAAACGCTTTCTTCTTGGTTTTTAGGAGCCTATAAGTCACACCTCAGCGAAAGCCTGTTTTTTATATTTCTTTTAAACGCTTCGGCGTGGAAGAATCCACACTTCGTTTTCTAATCCAAGGTTCAATTTCTTGTAAAATCGCCATTTGACAGCGGCTCTTAGATGTAACGAGCAGAAGCGTTTTATTTTTGCTCTGTGATTTCTGCCTGAGAGACCAGTACACTTTTCTCCAAGACGGTTTGGAAGGACAGAACAACCGAAGCAAAGGTCAGGGGATGTTCAAAAAGAGTCTGTTCTTACCGTCCGCTCACTACAAAACACGCAACCAGGAAGATAAGCAGCACAATGCCTCCAGCTATGGACACAGCTAGGATTGTGGACTGGTTCGGGTCCCCAATGGCCAGCATATCTGGAGAGGGAGAAAGAGAAAAAGAGACACATTTGTGTCAGTGTTAACCCTTAAATTTTGATGAGGTCAAATCTTTTTCAGTTTGGTCTGAAAGAATCCAATGAGTTTCTCAGACCTAATCAAAAACCAACATGAAAGACATAAATAAATAAATAAATAAATAAATAAATAAATAAATAAATAAATAAATAAATACATTTAAATTCAATTTAATTACATTTTAAAATAAGATTAATTATTAAATGTGTTATTATTATTATTATTATTATTATTATTATTATTATTATTATTATTATTATTATTATTATTATTATTTATTAACATTATTATTGCTATTATTATTATTATTAACATTATTATTGCAATTATTAATATTTTTGTTATTATTATTATTATTATTATTATTAATAATTTGAAAAAAGACACAATTAATGTTTCTTCTTTATTTATTCATTGAGAACATCCAATATTATTGTTTACATTATATTGATAATGATGGCATTTTATAGTATTATCATCATCATATTTATATGAATATGTGACCCTGGACCACAAAATCAACTTATGTTGCATTGATTTATTTTTGGCAACAGTATTGGGTCAAAATATAGATTTTTCAATACCTTATATACCTTAGATACCCTTTATTTTTATACATTATAATATTAAGTAAAAATCATGTTCTTTGGAGAAATTTGGTAGATTTAAAGCTTTAATTCCATTGTTCAAAAAAAAAAAAAACACTTACAAGCAAATATAATAATAACAATTATTATTATTATTATTATTATTATTATTATTATTATTATTATTATTATTATTATTATTATTATTATTAATTTAAACTCCCTTCTTTTAAAGAGATAAATCACCCAAAACTGAAAATTCCATCATTGTTTATTTTACTATGGGAGTCGATATTTAATGGATTTTAACATTTATTAAAATATATATTGTGTTTGACAGAAGAAAGAAACTCAAGAAGGTTTGGAACTACTTCAAGTAGAGTAAAAAGTGAATAAAGTTTCGTTTTAGGGTGACCTATCACATTAACTGTCTGTTTTGGTTATAAAAATGAGTTGGCTTCCTTAAAATTGTATAAATTGTATTTTTTATATTTCATATATTTAACACCATTACTGAGAGCATCTGAACGTGTTATTAACACAGTATGTTTTCACAGTATGTGGTCTCTTACACCTTAAAGAAGATAAACTATTGGGCTTAAATGTTAAACTCTGCTTCATTCCTACTAAAAAACAAAACAAAACAAAAAAAAAAAACAGAAGCTGCTGCATTTAGCCACTAAATATGAAGGCGACGACTGAGTCAATGTTCTAATTTACGAATGCCATCCAAATAGGGATGTTAACAGAGGGAATAACAGGCTCGGTTTGAAAGTTTCACGGCGAGTCTATGGATTTTATGCTGCTGCAATCCACTCATTACTCAAAACAAATACATCATTTATCAAGGCTGGCAACGCATGAGTAACCGCCTCTTTCAGGAAAATGAATATCTCCAGCAACAGGAATTGATTTGGAAATCCACTCAACTTCATACAACAATCTCAGATATGAGAGATCACAGCTCGCGGAGACAGGAACATATGGCAAAAATCTGATGAACAATACGTCACATACATTTCTCAGTTACAGTATATAGCTGTACCAAGATTGTTGTTTTACATCACAACAGTGGTAGAAAAAGACAGGGATTTTATACTCAAAAATTATGCATGTTAAAAACTACTTATTTAAAATGAGCTGAATTAACACAATTCTTGACAACTTAATTATTTTATGTTCAATCAACCCAAATTTTTAACTTAAAAAGATTTGTGTTGGGACAACTTAAAGGAATTGTGAAGAATTTACTGTGTTAAAAGATTGTTACATGCACTTACAGCTGTAATATGATTTTATGAATAAGTGCATGCAATAACCCTAAACCAAACCCTAACCCTAAAACTTTTACAAAAAGAATCAAAACAAATCACAACAGACTCTGCGTTTAAAAAAAAAGAAAACACCATCCAGATCCAAGATATAATACTAAATACAGATTAACTGTCAACACAACTAAAATAAAATAATATAATAAAAATGAACTGAAAGTAAACTCAACAATGATACTTGAGTCAAAGTAAAATAAATGGATTTCAATATACAAGTTTTTTTTTTATTATTATTATTGAGCAACTGTAGTTTATTTATGTAAATGTGTGCAGCAAAATAAAGTAAACTGTGACATTGTTTTACCACAAAAAGTCTTCATACAGTGGACTTAAAAGTCAGGTTTGCATGAGGGGCAGCCCATAAGACTATATGCTGGTCATTAAGAAAAAATGATTGATAGTTTTCTAATTATTGTAATTCTAATTTATTACAGCTATAGTGTCAGACAAAATCTGCAGGCATTTTTTTTGCTATTTCTGCACAGAATTTAGTAAAAAATCAGTGGATTAGCAGTATGCAGAATGATTTTGGGAGTATCGCAACTAAAACTTAATATTAAAAAATATCCTTTTTAACTTTTATTTAATGTTTACAATGCAAATCTAATTAGATCCACTTATTTGTTACACAAAGCAAGTCTCACATATAATATATCTACTATATTACTTTACAAACTGTATTGTAAATAAATCAAAGGAATCCCACATTTACAAAAGCAAACAAATAGACTTAATGATGGGCTAAAAATCTGCGAAATCTGCAAATTCCGTGAGCCAGTTATAAGTTATCTAGCATTATCAAGATGAATTTGTTCTAGCACAGTTTAACTTTGACATCTTATCATATTTTATTATCATAAACTTCAGTGAATAAATTTCGACAATGTGAGCAATGTTAAAGGTGTCGGAATCATTTTTGTTTTATGCACTGTAGTCTTTACTGTCACTTTTGAGCAGATCAGTTCATTCTTAAATGGCCTCAAACAAACTTTAGCAGTTGCTTGTATCCAAAGAAAAATCAATTAAGCAGTTCATCAAAGAGCCAACAATACCAGCCATAATACGCAAGGTCAGGTTAATTTAAACAGCAAGAAAAAAGTTTAGAGAGGATAAAAAGAATAACATTTAAACAACAGTGAATACAGTGTAAAATGAGTCTAAATTTTCAGGCACTACTACAAAAAATTGGCTCACAGTGCAATTCTGTACTTGTCAATGCCCGCCAGCAAACACTTTTGTGTTTAATAGACATCTAGTAGACATCTAAACGTAGTCATCTTGGCTAAAACAAGGCTAAACTTGGGCTGTCAGTGAAAATCTAACAGACGTCTAAGAATAGTCCAAAACTAAACTAGTCGTCAAATAAATTAGACAGACTTTATACGTCTAGCCATTCATTTCTGTGTGTTTGATAACAATTCTAGTTTCAAAAGTCTAGTTTTGGCCTATTCTTAGACGTATTAGATTTTCACTGACAAGTTTAGCCTTGTTTTAGCCAATACAACAATGTTTAGACATTTATTAGACATCGATTAGACATCTTTTAAAAACAAAAAAATGTTTGCTGGGCAGTGTCTTGCTAGGTGTTCAAATATTTGAATGTTAATCCTCACATTGATGTTTGAAGTTCCAGAACTTTGCTTAAGATTTAATATAATGAACTGGCGTATGACTTATTTCCCAAACTTCCTGCTTCTGCTCTCTGGGAGTCAAGAATAGAGTGTGTCATCATGTTTTGTGAGGACAAACGAGTCAGTGTTGAGTCAGTGTTTCTTTGATGGGGATCAAAGCAGATTTTTAAAAAAAGCTTTGGGGCACACGGTAAACACAGAGACCTTGTGGTATATGCATCTAATTTAAAGCTGGTTACGGCCCAGCGAGCATCTCTGGAAGCGAATCATAGAGCTCAGCCGACCTCATCCACCAAGCTCAAAGTTAACTGAGTCCAGTGGTGTAATTGCTCTTTTAATTATATGAAAAATGCTTAAGGCTTCGGCTCACGGTGACATTCATAAACCACTTGTGTGTGTATTTGTGCATACCATACACTTCAAGACAGAACACACAGCACTGTAAATTGCATACACTAAACATGTTCAGTTTCATAATGTGGGGAAAAAATTTAAACCCTTTCCAAAAAGAAAAGGAATATAAAACCTAAGTAATTTAAAATGTGCTGTCACCTTACAGCAAGAAGGTCGCTGGTTCAAGCCTTGGCTGGGTCAGCTGGCATTTCTGTGTGAAGTTTGCATGTTCTCCCCTTGGGCGTTGGGCTAACAACTCACCTCATAAAAAAACTAGATGTTTCAGAACACCAATATAGTTTGGCTAAATATCAACTTCGGTATACATGGCCCTGGGCGTGAGTGAGTGAGTGAGTGAGTGAGTGAGTGAGTGAGTGAGTGAGTGATTCCTAAAACTATTAAACAACACCCATTCTTCTCTTAGGACAGTTTAAAAAAAAAAATATATATATATATATATACACACAAAGTAATTTTTTCACACACAAAATATTTTCCATACTGTGAAATTTTAACTCTTTTTTAAATATTTTCCAAGTAATGTTTAGTATTTCTAATATTTACAGTACAGTATTTCCAGTAATATATGTTTTTCTTCTGGAGAAAATCTTATTTCTTTTGGCTGGAATAAAAGCTGTTTAATAAATAAATAAATTAATAAATACATTAATTAATAATTGATAGAATAAATGAACGAATAAATAAATAAATAAATAAATAAATAAATAAATAAATAAATAAATAAATAAATAAATAAATAAATAAATAAAACAAGTTTAAGGTCAATGTTATTAGCCCCAAATATATACAGTGCATTCATAGCGTTTCCCTTTTTCCACATTTTTTAATGTTATAGCCTTATTCCAAAATGGATTAAATTCATTTATTGCCTCAAAATCCTACACACAATACCCTATAATGACAATATATATATATATATATATATATATATATATATATATATATATATATATATATATATATATATATACATTTTTTTTTTTTAAAGATTATTCACAACCTTTGCTCAATATTTTGTTGATGCACCTTTGGCAGCAAATAAAGACTCAATTTTTTTTTTATTTTTAATTTTTAATTTTTTTATTTATTTTAATAAGATGCCACAAGCTTGGCACACCTGTCTTTGGGAATTTTTGCCAATTGCTCTTTGCAGTACCTCTCAAGCTCTATCAGGTTGGATGGGAAACGATGGTGTTCAGCCATTTTCAGATCTCTCCAGAGATGTTCAATAGGATTTAGATCTGGGTTCTAGCTTAGCCACTCAAGGACATTCACTGAGTTGTTGTAAAGCCACTCCATTGATATTTGGACGGTGTGCTTTGGGTTATTGCCCTGCTGGAAGATAACCCGTCACTCCAGTCTGAGGAAGGGCTGTTTTAATAAATTTGCAACAATTAAAAAATATTTTTTTTTCATATTGTCATTATGGGGTATCATGTATAAAATATTGAGGAAATAAATTAACTTAATCCATTTTGGAATGAGGCTGTAACATAAAAAATGTAATAAAAGTGAAGTGCTATAAAAGCTTCCCGAATGCACTGTTTTCGGCATCCAATAGTAAAAACAAACAACAAAAATTACAACTGATGTGTCAATAATTTTTAGCTTTACTGTATATTCAATACACTAAACTGTCAGATTCAAGGATAATACTATAAAAAATTTGACCGTATTGTATTATTGAAAGCTTTATAAACAATCTTTATAAGTAGTAAAGAGGTTTATTTCAGCTAGCAGTGAGTGAGTGAGGGATCTTTATGCCACCAGAGTAACCAAGTTTCTTTTTTTCATTCAGTCCATCAAGTTTTTAAAATAAGAGTCCCACAAACACAGTATGTATAATACAAGCTTAAATAAACTTAAACAATAAGGGAAAAAATTGCTGTAATCTCAGTAGGTAACTTTGTGGCCAAATCAAATGCTGCCCGAGGCATACATAATAATGATTCCTTGGAAATGGTCACAGTGTGCATTTTGTTCCAATTGGCCTAATTTTCACTGAGATTTCACTCTCACAGGATTGACATGAAAACAAAGAAAAACAATTATGTTTGAGTCTCATGGTATATCATACCCATACATTACCTCTTATTACTCAGCTATGCTTAGGTACAGTATTTCCAGATTTTCATTTTATGGCACCTTTTAAAAAGTCATCACTACCTCTCAGTGATGGAGCAGTAATGCTGTTAGATTTGTGTTATACTACTAAAGAACCCTCCATAGAGAGAGAAAAAGGGAACTGTTGAGAAGAGCAGAAAAACCTCACCCTCATGACTGGTCTCCAGCTCGATCTCTCCACCATAGTTGCCGTATCCTCCATCAGTGCGAGCCCTCACTCTGAACACGTATGTGGTTCCTGGTTTCAGGCCCTCCACAGTCATCATGTGCCCTTTGGTCTTCAGAACTGTGTAGTTCTGGTCTCTTTGGTTCTGTAATGGAAAAAAACAAACAAACAAACAAAAAAAAAACACTTTATATGTGATTTTATTTAAATTTAGGTTGTTTATTGATTATGTTGAAGTGGTAAGATGTTACTTTGCAATTTTTAAAAGTTTGGCGTGCGGATGACAATTTTCTCATAATGTTCCCAATTCATATAAATGTATGAAAATGGCTAAAATAACATAGTTAGCTAAAACATCCAAATATGACTACCAATAAAGACCACTATACTAGAAGATAAGTTCATGTTTTTGTGTGTATAATATATCCAACTCATATTGAGTCATATTATGTATGTATGTATGTATGTATGTATGTATGTATGTATGTGTGTATGTATGTATATATGTATGTTGTTTGTTTGTTTATTTGCTTGTTTGTTTAGTCAGTCAGTCAGTTAGTTAGTAAGTTAGTAAGTTAGAAAAAAAGTAATTTCATTGTGGACTACTTATTCATTTCATATTACATAATGTTATTTTTTTTTGTGAATTATTGTATAAATATTATTGTCCTGGTATGAATTTTAATATTGTAAAATAATATTACACTGGGATAAACATTATTTCAATTTATTAATATTTCAATACATGTAAAATTTTCAACATCATTACTCTAGTCTTCAATGTTACAGTTCTTCAGAAATAATTATAATATGCTCATTTAGATCAAGAAACATTTATATTATCAGCATAAAAGTCGAAAAGAGTCATGATATTTGAAACTTTTGTGAAAACCATGATATATGCTTATGAGCATACGCTTATGCTTATAGATTAACAGAAACTATGTAAAAAAACTGCATGTATTTATTTATTCATTCAATTTCTTTCGGCTTAGTCCATTTATTCATCAGGGGTCGCCACAGTGGAATGAACCGCCAACTTGTCCAGCATATGTTTTACACAGCGTATGCCCTTCCAGCTGCAACCCAATACTGAGAAATACCCACACACAGTTTAATCAATTCACCAACAGTATAGCGTATGTCTTTGGAATGTGGGGAAAACCGAAGCACCCAGAGGAAACCCACACCGACAGAAGGAGAACATGCAAACTTTTTTAGAATTTATTAGAATTCGTTTTAATCTATATGATTATGCCAAATTAATGACTCTTTGCAAATAAATAAAAATAAATAGTACTTTAATAATAATAATAATGAAAGACATTTTAAAAATGACTTTTGCAGTATTTCCTTTCACACCGCATCATTGTAAACAATATAAAATTCAAAAAATTACAATTTATTAAGTCTTACTGTGATGTCATGCTAGCGATGTTACACATTCAATCTGCAATACACTTGTTGAATCTCTTTTAAAGCAAACGGCAGGGTGGCAGTGTTGAATTTGGAGTGCACAGAACAGGACATAAGAGGATTAATGAAGGATATTATTTCAGCAGCATGCGAACACTGTAGCCAGCAGGCATCATATTTTCAGTCATTTTAGAGAGGCAGATGCTGGGGTGCTAAAAGACCAGGCCAAGGCTTTAATTTACACTGTTTGACATGATCATTGGTGTGATTATAGTTACATGAGTCAGACATCTGCAATGGCATGTAAATGTAAGTCTATGAATACAATGTGTTGATTAATTTGATAGTAATCACCCAGACTGCCAGCTAACACTTCACATGGCAGATTTACTTACTGCCTCATGTATTCAAAAATGGTGAGAGCTGGGTGAAAGCGCTAGTTTGGAAAATGGCTTCCAACTTCATGATTGTGAATTATACAAAATTCCAAAAACGGAGTAAAATGAGAAGAAAATAAACAATGTGTGATTTGTTATTGTTCGCAAGCTTTTATTTAAGTGAAAAAATACAATAAAAGGATTCCAAATGCTTTAACTGAGCAAATAAATTGCACAATTCTGTAAACATAAACTAATTTAGATTTCAATGGCTGTAACTCACTTTATGAAAATCTAATTTCCTTTGAAAAAAAAATATTATGTTTAAGAGTTTTGGAATTGGGTATACTAATTTTTAAGTTTTACTCATTCTATAACATGTTACACCTGATTACATTTTGATTTGGTTTTGACATTTGACAGTAGTGTGTTGCAGCTAGGAATGCATGATATTTCTGTGGCCATCCATATCAATATTAGACAATAAATGCTATTTAATGTTATTGTTATCGCTTTGATAACAAAAATAAGCCAATATCTTTAACTTGATAAATTATGTATAAACTACGCTGGGTGAACCAAGTCACATGCTTGATGTCTGACACTTTTTTACTATATTACTGGTATTTTGAATTTGGTTAACGATCAGTGACTTGGTTGCTTAATTAATTAATTTATTTTTATTTATAAAATTTTTTGGTCAGGCAGTTGATTTATCTTATATAAAAGAAAGTTGACCGTAAAAAAATAGTTAATTAATCAAACGTTCCTAATGTTAAGATTCGTAAATAAAACCAGTTGCTCACTGTATGTGTTTGCCGTTTGTTTGTGTAATAATTCAGAAAAAATGGGGAAAAAAAGAATAGTTAATACATCCGATATCAGCTATCACACATAAAAAACATATATTTTATCGTATCAGTCAAAAATTCCATATCCATATCCATCCATCAAAATCAAAATGTGCTTAGATTTACAAAACACTTAATAAAAATTGCACTTTTGTCAAGTAAAATAAGTAAAGTGCTTGATTTCACTGCATTTGTTTTTTTTTATGAAACAAATTTTCACAATTTGGGATATACAGTGTTTACATTTGGCTTGGCTGACACTTTTATCTGAATCAACTTGAATTTAAAGTCTTGCATACTAAGGGTGCTTTTATATGTTTCAATTGCAAACATCTAAAGTGAACCATCTTAGAGACTTAAATACGAATAATTAAAAAAAGCAGCTATCACAAATCGCAACATTAAATGAGCACTCTTGTCCACTAAAATAAGTAGTGTTAAAGTATCCTAACACTTCAGAATATTTAAAATTTTAAAATAACTGATATTATAAACCAAGAGCTGACAAAATAAGAGATAAAAGTAATCAGCTATGAGCTATCAAGCTTTGAATCAGTCCAGCATTGCTTCCAAAAGCAGCCTTTCAAAGCTAAGAAATCTTTTCCAAATATTAAAGAGCATCCTGTGACCAAATGGGTTCTGGGAAGGAATTGGTCTCTGTCCACCACACCCAGAAAGACTGAGAGTAGAGGCAGGTTTGTGTTTGAGAACGTGGGATCATTCCAGCTCCAACAAACCCAGCATGAACCACACATTCTTTAATGCCAGACACCCATCTGGGCATTGAGTCTGAGCTGACATCCCATAATCACACAGCAACCAGTATGTGTGCCAGACTAGACTGGGTCAAACGACTGCATCTGTGCAGGTCTGATGTAAATAAACCTTCTGTCTTTAAACAGCCAGAATGCTTTGAATGGTTGAGAATAGACCTTGCAAAAGTGATATTTCAAATTTGATGAGAATGAAAACAAGGCTGTTGGGTATTTAAGTAATTTAATCAATAAAATAAAAAAAATTAAGTAAAATAAAACAAAACATCACAGGCTTGGAACATGGCTCGTCCAGATTTTGCCAAGTGCTAGTTGTCTTGAGACTGACATATTTTATGATGACGCAGGGACAGGATAGAGTTTTTGTTCCTGGGTCATCATAAAATATGTTGGTCTCAGGACAACTAGCACTTGGCAAAATCAGGACGAGCTGAAACATGCATGCTCTCCTTTAGTCGTGATGTGTTTTTTTGTCCAAATAAACTATTAAAAAAAAAGTAAATAAAATAAAATAAAAAAACTTGCAAAATAAGTATGTAATAAATATTTAAAGCAGTTTCAACAAAAAAAAATAAATAAATAAAATAAAAATAAAAATAAAATAAAAAGAACCCATTTTCGAATCTGTATTTCATTATTCAATTTTAAGCACTTAGTTGTATTGTTTGATTGATTGATTGATTCAAAAGCTTCTTGATTTGCTCTTTTATATTGTTTGTTTGTTTGTTTGTTTGTTTTAGTATTTTTTTCATTAGTAGTACACAGCAATTGCTTACTTGTTTAAAAAAAATAATAAAAAATAATAAAATAAAACAAAAAATAAAACAAAACAAAACAAAACAAAACAAAACAAAACAAAACAAAACAAAACAAAACAAAACAAAAAACAAAACAAAACAAAACAAAACAAAACAAAACAAAAAATAAAACAAAACAAAATAAAATAAAATAAAATAAAATAAAATAAAATAAAATAAAATAAAATAAAATAGACCCTTTACGATCAAACTGTGCTGCAGGAGAGGATAAAGTCTAGATGCAATACAGCTTAGGATACTCTCATCAATATAGAATAATTTTTGTGACATCGTAGAATAAATAATATTTTGACATTACCGTGAGGGTAGGGTTTAGGTAGGGGTAGACGCTAATGAAATACAATTAATGCGTAATTTAATAAATAATATAAATCCTGCTTGTCAACTTTCAATCCCTTTCCTCAGGGTGCTCCAGTTTCCCAACAAGTCCAAAGACATGTGCTACAGGTGAATTGGGTAAGCTAAGTTGTACGTAGTGTATGTGTGTGAATGGAAGTGTATGGGTGTTTCCCAGTAATGGGTTGCAGCTGGAAGGTCATCTGCTGCATAAAACATATGCTGCATAAGTTGGTGGTTCATTCCACTGTGGCGACCCCAGATCAATAAAGGGACTGAGCCGAAAAGAAAATTAATGAAGAAATCAGCTTCCGATCGCGATGCTCATTACATGTCGTATCATATATAATATGATCATTATTAAGCTGTTTAAAAGACAAAATATATGTTCTCTGTCATATTTGACAACTGGAGTATCAGGAATTTTACAGTTTAATTGGAGCATTTGTTAATATTTACAGAAAAGGGCAACAAAATACGAGATGGCTGGTGGTCATGTGATAAACTTGACGCAAACTTCCATTTCTGCCTTTTCTATACAGATCACGTTACTTAATAAAAACAGCACTTTTCTCTTTTAAATCGACAGTATGTATACCCAGCTGTGTGTTTCAGTGACGGTATTCTCTCTGCTCGGTGACGTCAGCCCTGGTATCATTCTCCTGTTATAATTAAAGAGCTATGCGTGTATAAATGTGTGAGCAGTCGACTGTGGCTTATAGGGTCCACTGATTGCTTTCATTCCCAAAGGCATGATGATGCTTCAGCCCTCAATTACACATGCCAGGGCTGCCTGGACAACTGCAATCATTACAGCTTTTAATGGAGGTCAGAGAAGCATGCGTGGGTGTGTATGAAGATGAGAAACCAGCAGATGTACCTTCTCATAGTAGATGACTTCATATTCCACTATGACTCCGTTTGGTCTGTCGGGCCCCTGCCATGCCAGGGTAATACTGTCTTTACTCTTTCTCTCCTTCAGGATCACATTCACTGGAAAGAAAAGAGAGAGAGACAGACATTGAGAGACAAAATAATCAACAAGTGATGCAGTTCAATTGAAGCTTTGTGATATACATGGAATTATTCCAGTTTTTCATGTCTTGTTGATTCATTTATTTACAGTCATTCACAGATGTTTCGATCCAAGAGGATAAAAGTAGCACTTCAAATCACCAGAAAACTGCAATATATAGATGGCATGACAAGTAGAAGATAGTTTAGCAGTTTCTTTTATTGTCGAGTCATTGTAGCTGAGTGATTGTAGGAAAGTGTCTGGTGCATATGGAGAGGAAAGAGTGTGTGTTCTACAGGTGGTTTGTCATGCCCATGTTTTGCATTAAACAAAACATTAAAAACAAGCAGTGGACTTGGGAACAAAAAATACAAGGTTATAAGTTGCAAGTTGAATATTTTTACCTCCTTATTTTTAGAATTTCATGACACTGAAAAAATCTATCAAATTTCATTCAAGTTCATTAATTTTCTTTTTGGCTTAATCCCTTTATTAACAAGGGTCACCACAGCGGAATAAACTGCCAACTTATTCAGCACGTTTTATGCTGCGGATGCCCTTCTAGCCACAACCCATCTATTCGATTCACCTTTATTCGTATAGCACTTCTACAATGTAGATTGTGTCAAAGCAGCTTCACATAAAAGATCATAGTAAATCTAAACAGTGTAGTTCAGTTTTCAGAGTTTCAGTTCAGTTTAGCGAGGAAAAAACTTCACCAATTGGCGAAAGTGAAGAAAATCCAATATCTGTGAAACCTCCACACACTCATTCACACTCATACACTACGGACAATTTAGCCTACCCAATTTACCAGTACCGCATGTCTTTGGACTGTGGGGGAAATCGGAGCACCCGGAGGAAACCCATCGAATGCAGGGAGAACATGCAAACTCCATACAGAAACACCAACTGACCCAGCTGAGGCTCGAATCAGCGACTTTCTTGCTGTGAGGCGACAGAACTACATATTGCATCACTGCGTCATTATTCAAGTTACAGTACATATTTAAAAAAAAAATTGTGCAGTGGAACAGCAAAAAATTACTTTAATATTTTCACTGCGTTATAAAAATGTTTAATTTAGAGTTAAATTATTATCAATAAGTATTATTTAGTAACTAGTTCCACAGGTTGGTTTATGTTCACTCAGTTTCTCTCTTAAAGAGAAGCTGCTATCTATATCTATTATCTTCTTCTAATGGTTAAAAATGTATTAATTTTTTTTATAATCAAACATCATAAAAACACTTTGATTGACATTCTCCCTTTGTAATAGAGTAAAGTTCCGCCCATTTAATATCACCATTATTAGCATAAGGCACTGCCACTGCCACTATACTGACACATAAGCATTTTTAGCTCCACCCTTTTTTGAAAAGAGCACAATCTCATTTGAATTTAAAGCGACAGTTACCAAAATGGCAAAATTTAAAGTCTAAAAGAGGCAGTTTCAAAGAGTTATAAACATTATTTGTGGGCTATTTCGAGCAAAAACTTCACATACATACTCTAGGGGCATCAGAGATTTATTTTACAGCTTGTACAATGGGCCATAATAGGTGCGCTTTAAAACATTACTTAGATTTGTATTTTTATTGGTTGGTCCAAATTTGACTAAAAAAGATTCTCATATTGTCTGGATGTTTTTTTTTTTATTATTATTATGATTATTATGATTACTATGATTATTATTATTATTATTATTATTATTATTATTATTATTATTATTATTATTATTATTATTATTATGTCAGCATTAGCCATTCTGGACATGAGTTTGAAAACAATGCTTAATTTAACATTTTAAGTAAAATTGTGCATAATATTGTGCATAATTGTTATTATTGTGCATACAAAATATGTCTTCTTAACAATGTCTAAGCAAAAAAATATAACTTCAACTTCTAAACAAATAAATTAACAAACATGTAGATAACCAAACAAACAAACAATTATATTGTAAAATAAATATTTTTGCATTTTCAACATTTTATATGTTACAGTTTTTACAATGTTTATGCTTACTTGATGGTAAACGTTCAAGAGAAAAAGTCAATATTTTACCTTTTTTAATAAAAAAAGGTTAAAAACATATATATTGTTTAATTTAGTATTTATTGTGTGTTAGTATTCAAGCATTATTAGTTATTTATTAGTTTTGAAAAAAATTATTATTATTTTGTTAAAGAAAAAAGACCAAAAAATGCTAACAAGAATTAAAAACACAAACCGCTGAGAGCTCTTGATCCCCTCACTCTCAAGAGTGCTTTACACACACACATGCACACGCGCAAAACCCACAAGTGCTGTGAAACCTTTGTCTAAAGAGAGACAAAGGAGGCCACACAACAGCAGGTAATTACACTCCTGAAACAGTCTAACACCTTCTGTCTCTGTCGGCTGCTCCTTCATCTCTCTCACTACAGCAGGACGGACAGAGAAGAGAATGAGAGCGGAAGGAGGGATGACAGCAGGCCTGATATTTGGTCAGATGGTTGGAGGTAAATTCACCTTGTGTCCTTCACCTTCCGAGATCTGTGAACAGCCTTCAAATCACTAGATGTACTACACACATATACACACACAAACGCACACAGACCTTCACATGTACACGCACACACACACACACACACACACACACACGCACACACAGACACACACACACGCACGCACGCACGCACGCACGCACACACACACACACACACACACACACACACACACACACACACACACACACACACACACACACACACACACACACACACACACACACACACACACCTGCCATTCTTTCATGATAGTACATAGTTTATTGCCATTTTCTTTTCTTTTTGTCCTTTGGTCTTTCTGATAAAGTAACTTTTTTTAGACAGCTTACTTTTGTGCTTGAGTTTTGGTTATTTAAAACCTACAAAAGTATTATTATTTAACATTTGATATTATTATAATATTATTAAGATTCAGAAGGGATGCATTCAATTAATTACAAATATATTCTTAACCCTCTACTGCTTGCATTATGATTTATCTATGTTTAAAAAAAATGTGTCAGCGCCAATAGCCTAGTGGTTAAGTGCGTTGACATATGGCACCATATACGGCAACCTGAGTTTGATTACCGGTTCGAGGTCCTGTGCCGATCCTTCCCCTCTCTCTGCTCCCAATGCTTCTTGTCTTTTCTCCACTGTCCTATCTAAAAAAAGGTGGAAAAAACCCTAAATATATATATATATATATATATATATATATATATATATATATATATATATATATATATATATATATATTTTTTTTTTTTTTTTTTTTTTTTCTTTCTTAGAATGGCTTAACTTGAAGTGCTGTCAAACGATTAAAAAAAAAAAATCAAGGTACTTTATGATATGTTGCCATATGGCAACAATGTCCAACAGTGTATCTAACTTAAAAAATTCTCATTTAAAATTTTCCTTATATAATTATTAATTTTGTTGATTGAAATGATTTAGTTGGTGTTGCAGTATTATAGGCTTCAACACAGAACTTATTAATGACACCTTATGCATACTTCCCAAAAACTGATATTCCCACAGTTTTCAATTATTCCATTCTTTCTTTTTTTGCGGAATATTATTGAAAACAAACATAATATTGCATTATCATGTACACAACATACAGTGAATATAAATATTTTCTGCAGTAAATATTACAAGAAATAAATAACAAGTCTAGTTTATCCAGATGCATCAGAATAATTTAGATACTAGCAAACAATGTTTATATATTATATTATATTATATTATATTATATTATATTATATTATATTATATTATATTATATTATATTATATTATATTATATTAAATTATATTATATTATATTATATACTATGCCTGTCTTTTCTGCCTCTGAGCTAAATTTCCTGAACTTTCTGCATCACTGCTCTTATCAAATGTCCCATCTACATCATTCTCATGGTCATCTTCACTTTCAATTGCACAAAGAGCCAGTTCTGTCCTTTTCTTTTTTCACTTACCATAGAACATGGAGGTGCTCGCAAATACACTGTTCTCTGTCTCTAATCAAATGTGTTCCCATTAAAATTAGATTTTGTCTAATTTGTCTAATTTTATTAATTTTTTTTTTATTTTCATAATTTAAATGCCATTAACACATGACTAATCAACATTATATTACTAGCATTCATGTTGTTATTGCTACAAATTAAAATATCACAGCTGACCTTGCTGGCTAGCTAACCCATTGCAATATTGCACGGTTCCACTATTGCACAGTGTTGGCATTTGGCGACACATACATTTGATCGATTTACAACTAATTAAATTAATACAAACTTTTTGTTGTAAATATGTCATCATAACTCACGGGGGGTGATGTTTCAGATTTTTTGTGGATCTGACGATTCAATCCTTTGTTTTTAGTGATGTTTACATCTTATGTTTTAGAAATTCTAACTAATAATAAATAAATATTATCAATACATTGTTTTATATGAATTATGTGTCCTTAATCAGTTGGGAAGGATTCTAAATGAACTAGCTCATTTTTATTTATTTTTTTCACATAATGAACTGCTTCCCTCTAGATATATAGAGTGCCTAAGTGTAGGTTGAACCAAAATAAAAAAATCATTTGTAACCATTTCAGTGGGTTTATTTAATAAGAGTTTATCTTAATTGGCATCATAAGTACTGTAACTACTGTATTTTGTATTGTTTTTATTGCTTGTTTTTAATAATAATAATAATAAAAATAATAATAATAATAATAATTTCTTACTTTAATACAACACTTTTCTGGACACTCAAAGCACTTTACACATTAAGTGGGAATCTCCTCATCCCCAACTAGTGTGCAACATCCACCTGCCAGAACGCACACCACACACCAGCTGATTGGTGGAGAGAGGACAGAGTGATAAAACCAATTATGATATGGGGATGGTTACGAGGTCATGATAGACAGAGCCCTGTGGGCAA